GATTAATCCTGTAGTGTAGACATACCCTTAGAGACTAACAAAATTTATTTGGGCATAAGCTTTCGTGGGCTAAAACCCACTTCATCGGATGCATGCAGTGGAAAATACAGTATATCAATTAAGGTGGGCTATTATCAGCAGGAGAAAAAAAAACTTTTGTAGTGATAATCAGAATGGCCCATTTCCAAGTTGACAAAAGGGGGGAGGGGAGAGAAGAGAAGAGACATGAGAGAGAGAGAAGAGATTGCTCAGTGGTTTGAGCATTGGCCTGCTAAACCCAGGGTTGTGAGCTCAATCCTTGAGGGGGCTATTTAGGGATCTGGGGCAAAAAAAATCTGTCTGGGGATTGGTCCTGCTTTGAGCAGGGGGTTGGACTAGATGACCTCCTGAGGTCCCTTCCAACCCTGATATTCTATATTTAAGGTGTGAGTAACAGTAGGGTGGGGAAATAGTTTTTGCTTTGTGTAATGACCCATCCACTCCCAGTCTTTATTCAAGTCTAATTTAATGGTGTCCAGTTTGCAAATTAATTTCAATTCTGCAGTTTCTCAGTGGAGTCTGTTTTTGAAGTTTTTTTGTTGGAGAATTACAACTTTTTCCCCCTTACTGTTACTCACACCTTCTTGTCAACTGTTGGAAATGGGCCATCCTGATTATCACTACAAAAGTTTTTTTCTCCTGCTGCTAATAGCCCACCTTAATTGATTAGTCTCGTTAGAATTGGTATGGCAACACCCATTTTTTCATGTTCTCTGTGTATATCTTCCTACTGTATTTTCCACTGCATGCATCCGATGAAGTGGGTTTTAGCCCACGAAAGCTTATGCCCAAATAAATCTGTTAGTTTTTAAGGTGCCACAAGTACTCCTGTTCTTTTTGCCAATACAGACTAACACGGCTACCACTCTGAAACCTGTTAAAAACTAGTAACTACTAAAACGAGGGGGGGGGGGGGAGAATAAAGCTACCAAAGCTACAGTTAAAACCATTTATAACTGTAATCAGAGATAAGGACACTGAAGATTCTGACCGAGACCCTGTGGTGGTAAGGGACTGGAGATGTGGGTCTCCCCCCTCCCCTTGATTGAAGCACGAGGCAAGTCAGGGTGCATGCGCGGATCAACCGACACTTTCAAATTCTCTAACCCCGGGTGCACGGTGCGCATGCGTAAACCACAATGGAGTACAATAGGGACCATCACTCAAAGAAAAAAAACTGTCCCCCTTGCTCTTCCTCATCTTTCCCTCCCATCAGTTCAGTTTCTCTTTGGTTTTATCCAAGTGAGTTTGCATCAATTTAACTTAAAGCTGTGGTTTCTTTTAAAACTGTTTTGGTTAAATCATTCCAAAACGAGAATGAGTGTCAACACAGGTTAACAGCGGCTTACTGTGGTACAGCTTAAACAGATTCCTCATCAACTGAAGCAAGCCTGCTGTAAACTAAAAATAGCATCCACACAGCCTTTTGCACCACTTTGAGGTCACTTCAGTTAAACTGACATGACTTCCTTGCACAGATGAGCCCTTAGCTGGAAATGAGGAGCACCGCTACTACATAACCCAACTCTCCACGTGTTCCAGCAGACCAGGGCCCAAATTTACTTTTACTGCATGTAATAGGTACCCAAGTTACAAAAAAGTCCAGTGACACTGCTACTTTTGGAGATTTGAAATGCTACTTCATCTCCCTATGCAGTACTGCAGCATATTAATAAAATTATTAAAGTAGGGGTCAAAAACAAGAAAAACCTACCATGTTGTTAGACACCCATGGTGTCTTCAACTCAGCACATGAAAGGCATGTTTGGTTACCAAGGTCAACTGTATTCATCCCTACACTTACAGCATGCTCTTCACTGTACTTGATAAACAATCCTCAGCACCCCGACAACTAGTTACTCCTGGAGAAGAGAGATGTTAGCGACTTGCCTAAATCCACACACCGTGTCAGTGGCAGAGCTGATAGGAGCGCAAGAGAGCTTGACTCCCAGACCTTGCTCAAGTCTATGAAACTTTGACGCCTCCTCAACTTCACGGTGGTTGCGTAATTAACACACACCAGTTGTTGACATGCCAACTTACACCCAGGGAGAAAATATTATTAGAGTAATGCTAATTTCCTAGCATTTGAAAGAGAACGTCACCATCCTCACTCCAGTTTTTCAATTTATGCTGCTTGTAGCTCTAAATCAGACTGAGCTGGAAAATAAAGCTTCTGGAGGCCTTTTTAAGAGAATTTTATTTTTGAGTGGTTCTTACAAAGATTGTTGCAATATGAAAGTCATTTGTTTGATAGAAATATCAAGCTGTCTTGTCAAACACACTGAAGTAACCCAAAAATATATTTCAGAGCTCACAGAGCTTAAAAAGAGCAAAGATTATATGCAACCAGACAAAACATATTTCTGCATTTTCTACTTATTCTTAGGCTTTGCTGAGTATCATTAAACTGTGCACACTACCTGTATTCAATTCAACTTGTCTCTGGAAATGCAGAGAGTGTTTTGTTTGGAACCCTAGACACACCTCACACAGTATTTACAAAGAAACTTTTACAGATACATCAATCAAAAGTTGCCATCAAGAAATAAAACGCTTGAATCCTCCCAGTCTCATCAACTGTTCAGCATAAAACAAGCTGAGTAGCTGACCAAAACCAGATCCTTCAGTAGCCTTTTGAATTTTCCATTTATACAAAACACTAAATATATCCCTTCATAAATTCTATCAGATATTGACCTTTAACAGAGCACCTATATTTAGTGAAATGTAAAATGTAATTACTGCATTAAAAGAAAGGCTTGTGAAACATTAAAAATGTCATTATGTCCCATCTGCCTTTTACAGAAAATTCGTTTCTATGAGCTATTTCTCAGTTCCTACTGAACACCTTAGTAAATGTACAAGAATTACAAGGCAGAACAAGAAGTCAACAGCTTTGTACACAGTGGGAATGCTAGTTAGGGAGAATGAGCACACTGCATTCCTGCTTACTCGGTTTTTATTTTTTAAAGGTAACGGGAAGTGTACACAAAATGACATTAAACCCTTTCCTTTAGTTTTATCTAAATAAAAGATAACTCAATCTTCCTCCAAAAAATAGTTATATACAAAACTGACGAAATCCATCTTCATCGTCGAACAGGAACCAGTAGCTGGGTTGCAGTCATGGAATCAGGGAAAAGATTGTGGTATGTTGGAAGAGGTACATATGCTGCTGTAATCATTTTACCTAATAAAAAGATAAAAAGATGTTTTTAATGTCTTGAGTCTATAATGAGAACTCAGGTCTTTAAGCAGCCTTTACTCACCTGCAAACCACCTTCCATGCAATGCATTGACAGCTGCAATGGCAGCAGCGATTGAAGGGCATTTGACGTACACATTGCCCTAAAATAAAAAAAAACAGTGTTAGTCTGTGAGGTGCATGACAACTTCCCCCCCCTCCCAATTACATTGGTTTTTCACCATGTATGTTTGAAGGAACCTCCTATACACCTATTGGAGAACTAGCAACATCCATGTCAGCAGGGATATTCTTAATTCTTGGGAAAAACAGTTACCCACCGTTTTTGTAACTGTTCTTTGAGATGAATTGCTCATGTGCATTCCATTCTAGGTGGGTGTGCGCCCACATGCACAGTTGTCAGACACTTTTGCCTTAGCAGTTATCCATAGGTTCGGCTGTGCTGCGTTCACGCGTTGGTATATCAGGCGCTGGCAGCCGTACGCCCTCTCAATTCCTTCTTGCAGGCAACTCTGACAGAGGGGCAGGGCAGGAGGGCAGGGAATGGAACGGACATGAGCAACATCTCGAAGAACAACAGTTACGAAAAAGGTGGGTAACCATTTCTTCTTCTTCAAGTGCTTGCTCATGTCGATTCCATTCTAGGTGACTCAAGCAGTATACATGGAAGTGGGCTTGGAGTTCACAGTCTTGCGGCTTGCAGCAGCACTGCTCTACTGAAGCCAGCATCCTCTCGAGCTTGTTGGGTAAGCGTGTAGTGAGATGTGAACGTGTGAATGGATGACTAGGTAGCAGCTCTGCAGATATCTTAAATGGGCACTTGGGCCAGGAAGGCCGCTGACTAGGCTTGCGCTCTAGTTGAGTGAGCAGTGAATCGCCGGCAGAGGCGCCTTCGCCTGATCATAGCAGAAATGGATGCAGGCAGTGATCCAAGATGAAATTCTCGGGGTGGACACCGGACGACCTCTCATCCTATCTGCCACCATGACAAGCTGAGTCGACTTGCAAAACAGAAACAAATAAAAGGAAGTATTTCTTCACACAACACACAGTCAACCTATGGAACTCTTTGCCAGAGGATGTTGTGAAGGCCAAAACTATAACAGAGTTAAAATAACTAGATACATTCATGGAGGATAGGTCTATTAATGGCTATTTGCCAGGATGGGCAGGAATGGTGTCCCTAGCCTCTGTTTGCCAGAAGCTGGGAATGAGCAACAGGGAATGGATCACTTGATGATTACTTGTTCATTCACTCTGGGGCACCTGGCATTGGCCACTGTCAGAAGACAGGATACTGAGCTAGATGGATCTTTGGTCTGACCTAGTATGGCCATTCTTATGTTCTGACAGTTTGGTCCTTTCAACGTAGAAGGCTAGTGTACTCCTGATGTCCAGGGAGTGCAACCTACGCTCCTCCTCAGACTTATGAGATCCGGCCAGCGTCATCGGGGATGACACCGACAGGTCCATAAGTGTGCTGAACCAGTATTGGTGACACCAAGCCGGGGCAATCAGGATGACCTTGGTCTTGTCCTGCTGGACCTTCATGAGGACCTTGTGGAGTAGCAGCACCGGTGAGAAAGCATACATCAGAGCCCCAGACCACAGGAGTAGAAAGGCATCTGACAGGGAGTCCCTGTTGATCCCCCGGAACAAGCAGAACAGTTGGCACTTCCTGTTCTGGCAAGTCGCAAACAGGTCCACACCTGGGGAGACCTCCACTTCTGGAAGATCTGATTGACCAAACTGGGGTGGAGAGACCACTCGTAGCGAGATGAGAAGATTCTGCAGAGGCAATCTGCCCGAAAGTTCCTGGCTCAGGTGCACTTCATAAGATGAATGGCATGCTACACACAGAGGGCTTCCTGGCAAAGGGCTGACGACCTGGCTCTGCCTTGTTTGTTGATATAAAACATTGTCAGTCAGAACTTGAACCACCTTGCCTTGCAACTGGGACCGAAAAGCCTGGCAAACCACCCTGAGTTCCCTGACATGTGGATGGAACGGTAGGCCCCCCCGACCAGTAGCCTTGTGTACTGAACCCTCCCAGGTGGGCTCCCCATCCTAGGTCCAAGGCATTGGACACCAGAGTCAATGATGGGGATGGGACCGTGAAGGGAACTCCCTACAAGACTGATGCGGGGTCCAGCCTCCACGCCAGAGATGCCCGAACGTGGTCCAGCACCTTGATTACCAGGTCCAGGTCGTGCCTGTTGGGGATGTAGACCGACACCAACCACGCCTGCAGCAGGCACAGATAGAGCCAGGCAGGACACCACATAAGTACAGGCTGCCATATGATCTAACAACCTTAGGCAGGTACGGGCAGTGGTGAACATATTATCCCGTCACATGGGAGATTACATCTGACATGGCTTGGAAGTGGGACTCCGGAAGGAATGCCCTTGCCCGTGTGGAGTCGAGAACCGCCCAGATGAACTCTATCCGTTGCACTGGTACAAGGATTGACTTCTTTAATTCACTAACAGGCCCAAGTTGCGGCATGTGGCTCGCACCAGACCGAGGCTGCTCTGCATGTGATCCCGTGATCTGCCCTTGATGAGCCAATCATCAACATAAGTATAGACCTGGACCTCCTGGCACCTCAGGTAAGCGGCTACTGGGACCAGGCATTTTGTAAAGACCCGCAAGGCCAAGGATAGGCCAAAGGGGAGCACCGCAAACTGGAAATGGTGCTGGCCCACCACGAAGCGAAGGAACTGCCTGTGTCCTGGGAAGATAGAGATATGGAAATAAGCGTCCCTCAAATCAAGAGTGGCGTACCAGTCTCCCAAATCTAGGGAGTAAATGATGGAGGCCAGGGATACCATGTGAAATTTCAACTTCTTGAGGTATTAAGCTATCGCAGATCCAGAATGGGACATAGCCCCCACTTTTGCCTTCTGGATCAGGAAATAATGGGAGTAGAACCCTTTCCCCCTCAGTTCCTAAGGGACCTCCTACACCGCCCCCAGTTGCAGTAGGTTGTTTACCTCCTGAATGAGTTGCTGCTCATGAGAAGTGTCCCTAAAGAGGGACAGGGAAAGGGGGGGGGGGGGAGAGGGAAGGGTGGCCAAAAATTGGAGGGTGTAGAGTGATGATACGAAGTCTAACACCCAACAGTCCGAGGTGACCCTCGACTAGGCTGAACGGAAATGCCGGAGATGGTTGAGGTAAAGGCAGCAGATCTGGGGAGCTGACTGGTGCAACGCTCTTGGGCGCTCCCTCAAAATGACCGCTTCTGGCCCCTGTGGTGTCTTGCTGGGCCAGGCTGTGCCGGTGAGTGGGAGGATGAAGGGTGGCAGCAACTAAAACCAGTGTCCCTTCTCCTTGCAGGTCCCTGCTGAGGCTACCACTGCCCTGGCGACGGGAGTGGCCCGAATGTCCTTTAGACCGCGCAGCCTTGTGTCCGTTTGGTCAGAGAACAGCCCAACTCCATGAAACGGTAGGTCCTGAATAGAGGCTTGCATCTCCTGGGACAGTCCACCAGAGCCTCTAACTCTTGGGCTGCCTCCTGGGACATGAAGTCCTTAAACTTGAGGAGGGAGTTCCACAAGTTAAAATTGTAACGCCTCAAAAGGGCTGGTAGTTTGCCACCTGGAACTGGAGACTGGCCATGGAATAAATTTTGAGTCCAAAAAGGTCCAGTTTCTTGGCCTCCTTATTTTTGGGGGTGGAACTGGCCGGCCTCTGGTTGTCCTTTTCGTTGGTTGCTGACACAACCAATGACCACAGGTGGGTGTTTAAGTATTCGAAATCCCTTTGCGGGGACAAAATACTTCTTTTCCGCCCTCTTGGAAGTGGGCGGGATGGAGGATGGGATTTGCCAGATGGTCTTGGCAATATTCAGGACCCCTTCATGCACCAGGAGTGCAACATGAGCAGGGGTGGACGCAGAGAGCACACTGAATAACACGTATAACTGCTCCACCATTTCCTCCGCCTTAAGGCCCAAGTTTGCAGAGCAGCACTTGATGCTCTCTGAAGTCATCCGGAGGGCTAGCCCAGGAAGGCCCCGCCACATCTGGAGAGGAGGATGACTGGACTACCGGAGGAGGGCCCGGGGCGTCTTTCCCCGCTGGGAAAAGAGGTCTTGGGGTGGGCATCTGTTCCTGCACCAAGCCTTGTGCTGACTGTGGTTTGTCCGATGCGGCGACAGAGGACTGGCGGGACTGGGGCATCGGCATAATAGATATGCCCAAGGGGTTCCAATAGGGCCATTGTGTCGGCCACTGGCCTTGCTGCCTGGTCTGCATCACCACAGCAGATGCACCTTCCGGAGCCCAGTCGCAATGCTGTGTAGGCGAGGGGCTGAACTCCCTCTCCGTGCCAGAGAAGTCCTCTTCCTCCAGAGACCAGGGTGGGGCCGTCAAGGCTAGGGTCTGGCGGCTAACTACCACCATGGGTGACTGGTGCCTGGAATGGTCCAACCAGTGTTGGGAGTAAGGGGAGCAGCACCAAGTTGGGGAGCATCCCCGAGGTCTTGGTGAGGGTCAACTCTAAGATAACCGGTCTCTCTCTCTAGGTGAGTCCCAGTATGAGGGCGGAGACCAGGAACGCAGTGCCAGTGACCTGTAGAAGCGAACTGATGACTTGGGCCTATGTGGAGACCAATGGCGTTGCAACACAGGGCTCTGCCTTAGCTCCAGAGACCAGCGGCGCTCACTCGCCTTCTGGGAGGCCCTCATGGCAAGCCTGCCCTTGTAGGGAGCCTTAGCCGGGTCCATCATCACACGTGGCAACAGCGAGAGCGCTTGTTATTCTCCGGGCACCGGGAGCTGAGAGGGCATTGACTGCGCCATCAGCCTGGGTCCCCTACTGCTCCCTGGAGTCGGTGGCAGGTCCCTTAGGGGGGTAGTACTCGCCAGGGCAAAGCCCCCTGGAGGCTCCAATGCGGGTGGGCGGGCGGGCCAAGCAGGGTCCTTTGCCCAACGCCTCTTGATCTGGCTTGTTCAGTGTCAAGTCCCTCTTCTTGGGCACTGGCGAAGGCGAAGAGTGCCTGGAAGAGCCAGGTGATGGAGGTGCGCTACATGCCGAAGCCAAAGCACTGGGTGCTGCGTCCGGCCATGGCGGCTTCAAGGCTGTGCAAGTTCGGCCTCTATGAAGAGGACCCTCAAGCGAATGTTGCGTTCTTTCTGTG